GTTCAGATTGTCGAACGGCGACTCCAAGGTCATGGCGAAGAGTATCGGCGAAACAGTACCTCTTTGGTGCATTCGTTTGCTGAACAGCAACTGTCAACCGTAGCGTCAATTCGATCAAACGCTGGTTTTTCGTCTATGGAAGCAAAACAGAGTGGCACTTTATATTTTTGCACTTCTTCGTCAATTGCTGAATTACAGTACATGATGAATGGTGGAACACCGGATCCGGAAATAGGCTTTTGACAAGTTCGAGGTCATGAACACAAATAAGCTGTACCGCTTGAGATGTGCAAGCCTAGGTAATAAATTTTGTGCCAATGGTTAATGAGTTCGTTCCGTGGAACACAATCGGCAAGAAGGAGGAATTAGTGGTGAATGGTTCATAAACCGAAATGAATTTTCCTTAAAGAAGCTGCTAAGCTGCCGATTAAGTCACGGCTTCAAATTAATGCCAGCAGTTACAGATGACGACGAGAGAGGTAATGAAGTGGAGCAGAGCAGACTTGAGGCACGTGCAAACCATCCAGACGGCTTTGGGCTTGACTCTGACGGGTGTCGCTTCGCTGGAACTCAGTGCTCAGTTTCCTCAACGTATGCAACCATTAGACAGTGGCAAAGCAATTCACAGAAATTGAGTATTTCTCTAGCGCTTTCCTCTTAAACGAATGAGGATTCTTCGCAGAAAAATATGTAAGAACTTCACGGATGCAAATAGTAGCTGCATTAAAAAAACTGTGCGCTGTCGAGTTCTTCTCACCTGTTGCTCGATGTAGCCCTTCAAGCGTCTAGTCTTCTAGTGGCGAGCTTATGAGCCTTCATTGATGCGTCCGTTCTAATAAGATTTTAACAATCAATCAAAAACGCAAAACGAACTTTTCGAAGATCAGAAGCTCGAATCAGCGATGTTGGATGTTTGTAAAGAGCTACATTTTCTGATTCGATGGCTAGCAACATGAAAATGTTTGGCAGATCAGAGTTGGATACTAACCGTTAACTTCGGAAGTACCACTAAGGCACGTGGTCTACAGAAAATCTATAAGACCGGCAGTTCTCTTAGACTTATAGAATTTACATCTGATAGCCTGTTCTACAATCTGGATAACCACTTGAACTACGTTCAGAGGACAAACGTATCAGAGGCTTGCTGTGCAAAAGTATGTGAAATAAACTCTAATTATATACCACGTCCTGGAGTTTATGATTATATCGCCATTCAAGTGCAGTTACATATGGTTTTGGCGAAATTGACTAATGTCTTGCTCCAAGCAAACTGAGCCAAGAAAAATTACATTTTCAATTAACACCACTAATTTCATGTGGTCCACGGAATCTGTAACTATGACCGGTTGCATAATAAGCTAGGCTGCAACTGCTCGCATAATGGAAT